TATTTAATATTATTTTATTAATTAAAATAATTAATTATTAATTATTTAACTTAATATTTTAATATTATTATATTTTAATAATAATATTGAATTATTAATATTAATAATAATGGCTGAATAGAAAATGTTCTTACAATATCAACAAGGAAAACACATAGTTATATTATAATTAAAAGATTAATTAATTCAGTCTTTATTTAATATTAATATTGATTAATTATAGTATTAAAATAAATATTGACAATATAGTTCCTTATTTTAATTAAATATAAATAATTGTTAATATTTAAAATAATTGTTATTAATTTAAAATGCTATTAGTATTAATAAATTTAATATTCTTAAAAATGTTATATTATTAATTATTAAATAATTTAATTAATTATATTATATTATAATAATTTATTTAATAGAATATTAAAAATTAACACTATGTATTTCAAAATTGCACCAGCTTCGAAAGCATATGTAAATATAAATCTAGTAACTGTATATATGCATTATAAATTATATTAAAGATAAAATAATTGTCAATAAATAGATTTATTTATTAATATAATTTATAAATAATGAATATATATATATGTATTATTTATAATTAACATATATAATATTTTTTGCTTATTTAATCTGTTCAAAAATTAAAATAATTTTGTTTAAATAATATTAAATCTAATATTAATATTATTATTAATATTATGATTTAAACTATTAATTTAAAATGTTTAAATAATATTATAATTTTAAAGAAATTATTATATAAATTTATAACAAGCAATCTAATAATTCATTGTAATATCATATATAGTTATATATATATTAATTATATATATTATAACTATAGTATATTAATTATATTTATATATTAGTTTAATACATTGAATATAATTTATTAGTTATTTTAATAAATAACTTGTTGTATATTTATCAAATATATTATTAAATGTTTATTGACTATATAAGTTATATTATATAATAATATAATTTAAAATATTTTATAAAACATAAAAATATTAATACAAATTAATAGTTATAATTAATAATTTATATAATAAAATATATATTAATAGTTAAGTCATAACTTAATATTTTATTAATATATTAATTATATAATATATTTCATAGACTAACAGATATTATAAGTATATGACTATTAATATAATTCATAATAAATAAATTATGCAAGCTATTTATTTAATTATTAAATATAAATAATTATTTATTTAAAATTTATAAATCTATCCTTAATTAATATATAGTCACAAGCTTCGTCATATTTCCAATTGAAGCATATGTTATATATATAATTATGTATATATATAACAATTGATTACTTTATTAATATCATTATTAATAAGGATTAATAATATTAATAAATAAATAATATTAGTTTAATTAATTATTAATATAAAACAGAATAATTATTCAAACAATTATATGAATAATAATTTAATAATATTAATTTATTAATATGATTAACAGATTAATCAAATAGTTATATCAATTTGAACAATTATCTATTTGAAATTATTATGACTTTTTGTTTGTCATAAAATAATTATTATTAATAATTTGTATATTAAATAATTATTAATAATTTTTAATATTAATCACTAATATTCTATAATTTTAATAAACTATTTGTAAAACAGTTAAAAATAATTTTAACCTTATTTATTGAAATTTATTTTTTAAATCTATCAGTTATCAAATTTCATAATATTATTATATTAGTATTATTTTATTTTGAATAGGCTTATATGAAGATAAATAATTGTTTTTATGACAAAACAAATGATTATAATGATTGAAAATATATAATTATTCAAATAGTCATAATTATTTTGAACGTGTTCAAAAAATAAATTTATTTTATATATTTTTACTTATTAATATTTGGAATATTAGTAAATTTATATTATTTTATTTGAAATAAGCTTGTATGAACAGAAATAACTGTTTTATGACAAAACAAAATGTCATAACAATTTGAAATAGATAATTGTTCAAATCTGCTACTTATTAATAAAAAATTTATGAAATATCAATAAATTTATTATTAATATTATTGTTTATTAATTTTATTAATAATTCAACTAATATTATATATATAATTAGTTATGACTATTTAATAACAATCTCTAATATTAAATATTAATAGATATAATAATAGTTAATAAATTAAATATAATAGTTAAATTAGATAATAAGTCAAATTATAATAATTAATAAGTAAATGTTTATCATTATAATATATTTAATTTATTTCATTATATGATATATTATAATTAAATATTTATTATAATATAATAAATATTATATAATTTATTATTAATTTAATTATATAATAATATTATGTTATAAGTACTTAAATGAAGATATTTAAGGATCTATCCCATTTGCTTGTAAGACTGCATTTTGGCATCTTCTACTTCATGGTTTGTGCTTGGAGAATGTTTTCTTTGATTTCCAAATAGGTGAGGAGCTTAATTTTCTCTAGATAATTGAGATTGCTTTATACAATATAGTAACAATCAAAATTTTGATATGGTATGCATGAATTGGTCTTGCATATAACAACAGCCAAAAATGACAACCAAGATTAAAAAAGTGCATTGTGTACTAATTTTTTAATAAAAAAATATAAGCTAGTCAATTATCTTCTTACCTTGGAAATTGTTAGACATGATTCTCTTATGGAATGATCAATATGAAATGCAGTTTGGCCATTTTTGCTCTTGGTTCTTTATCCACTTTTTTATCCTTTATCAAGTATCAAATCCAAATTTTCCTTGCAATAGTTGCCAAATGCAAAGGCATATTTCCATCATTATCAGGCAAGTTTATGAGTCTTTTGTTTTTATTGTTTTCAGCATTATACCTGATAAAATTACCTTCCCACTAAGGATAGCAGCATGTAGAGCATTGCACTCACATAAATCAAGAAGTTCTATAGATTTTGGACATTTTCAAATGATCTTTCTTATAACATTAACATGACCATTGCTAGCTGTAACATAAAGTGGTGAGTGACCATGTTTGTACAATATATATACAACACTATTATCAAGATCTCGTAATTGTTTCACTATTTTATGGTCTCTTAGAGATGCTGCATAGTGGAGAGAGGTTCTTCCTGATGGTCAACTTCTTTGAGCAACGTGGTTTGACTCTTAGGAGGGCTTGCATGATATCTTACATTTACACAGAAAACTTGTTAAGATAAAGAAAACCAGAAGCACTATCAAAGGGAAATACTTAGCAGAAATCTAATATCTCTATTTTGGTATAGAAATTAGAATTGCAAAAGTTTTAAAACAGCAAGAACTACAATGTTGTGTAAGAGAAATTTGTGAAAATAAATGAACCAAACATGAAAATTACTAGAATGGCTTTCAATGACAGCAGCATGCAAAGCTGTTTGGCCATTTGAACCCCCACAAGCTATGAACTTATTTCTTGATGTCATAATTTCATTCACTATCTCTAGCTTTCCTTCTTTGGAAGCAAGATACAAAGGCAATTCACTAGCAAAATTTGTTGAAAAAGCCAACTTATGATCGACCTTTAGCAAGAGTTGAACCACTCTAAGATGAATATTCCTGAGAGCTTCATGCAAAACTATGTTGTTTTCCTTGTTAACCATTCTCAGAATCTCAAACTTGCTAATGATTTCATTTTCATCAGTTTCTCTCTAACCTACCCTTGCAGTAATATGTAGATGTATATCTCTATCTAAATTCTACTTTATCAAAAATGATCGACGCTTGCCATAAATCTCATTGATAATAATCTTGTGTCCAAATTTATAGCTGTGTTTTCCTGGGGAGTTATCTTTAAAAGTAGTATTGGATTTTGATATAGAAAAAGTTTGAGGGAACAAACTTTGCCTAACTTGGCATATTAGTTAAATTTTGGATCCATTAAATGATCATATCTAGAATTGTTAACAGGTAAAGCTTTTAATTCCCTAACTACATTATAAAAAAAAAGGTATATTCCCCTTTACAATATGGCTCTATACAACATTCAGTCAAAATATCACTGGCCTGTCTTTTCATAGATTGAAATATAGCTTTTGCTTTAACTTTTACTAAATGAAAATAAAATATACATAGGTAGAAAATCATTTCAAGTAACAAATTCAATATAATTGGTCAACATGGACTATTCAAAGGGTCCAAGTTTGTGACTTGACCAAAGCACAATATTACAGAAAATTGCATGAAAGAAAAAGACAATGGAAAGTTATGTAAAAACTTAGAAAGAAAAACAAATTTTAAAAGTTTCCAAAAGTGACAACTTCATGACTTTTCAAGCCATATGCAATTTAATAGTCTAAAGTTTTGTTCTTGCACAAACCATGAAAACAAAAGCTAATTTTCTAAATATAAAATATTTGAGGCTGCCTAACAAAACAAGGCTATCTCATTTTGCAGAAAAAATTTTCTACTACATTTGACTCAACATTATCCTCAACTACATGATTGGTTGAAATTATTGAAACAAACATTTATTTTGTTGCCAAATATAAACTATAAACCGATTAATTTCAAAACACAATAATTCATTTCATATGACACAAAAAATGTATATTTATCATATTTTATTCGGATTAATTTTAAAATTGAGTCAAAATAATTTGTTAAACAATTTTTATTTTATTTGAATCTACTCGATTTAAAAAATATTATCATTAATTATTATCCTAATAAATATTTCGAATTTATTAAACCATCAAATAAATCGAACAAATTAAATCTCATTCTAATTAATTTAAATTTAAAATTATTTTATCCAAATTATTCTGAGAAGGCTCAATAAAATACTGTAGCTATCTTATTTTGAATTCTTATTATTCTATTTTTTAATTTTAATTTTTTTAAAAAAAGTCAAAAAAAAAAAAAAAACCAGAAAGCTTGGAAACTTAAACGGTCAAAATTCAAATAATTTCACTGTTGAATTCAAGTCGATTGCCCACTGTACTGTTGTCTAACTTGTCAGCACAAAAATTGTAAAGTCTTTCTCACATCTCATAAAGTCGAAATTTTGAATTAAAAGGGCTTCTCAAATCTAAAAAAAAAAATGGGGATTTGAACTGGATCTGGCGAAAAATTGAGGCAAAAGAGGAGGCCAATCTTTCCTGAAAAAACTTTTGAAAGGCACTTGAAAAAACAACCACAGTCCTCTATTGAGGAATCCATCGGAAAAAAAAAAAAATAGAAACAGAAAAGGGCCCGTTGAGGATAAAAAGGGCTTTCGGTCATGGGATTTTTTTTTTGTTTTATGAGTGATTTGGGAGAGTATTTTTAAGATTTTGGGAAAGGAGAGAAAGGAGCTATTTTTTTGGGTGGTGGGAGCGACGGCGGTGTATGGAGGTCAGCGCGGGCGAGGAGACTTTTGGATGATCTGAACTGGTAGAAAGGAAGGATGGAAGGGGAGAAACAACATACTTTGGTTTCAGGACGACCGGACGGCGAGAAGAGGGTGAACGACGGTTTAAAATTTCGGGTTAAAGTTTCAGATCCAAGCTATTATGAGATGATTTGCGAAAAACAGAGGCTGAATCTGAGACAAGAAGGAAGAGAGGAGTCCACGGCTGAAATTTTGGAGTCAACTGACGCCGAACGGTGGCGGTGAACGGCGCCGGGATCTGGGTTAGGGGAGAGTGGCCGGGTGTGTCTTTTTTGGAGAGAAGAAGTTGCATTTGATACAAAAAACGGGAAACTCAGGTTTGATGCTCCTGACCTGACCCTCTTACAATGTTTGTATTTAGCAAAGTGATCAATGAATATGGAATTGTCTAACGATGTTGTAGATAAGGTACGTGCCGCAGACATTTTTATCACCTTGTATATTTTATCTAATTACAAATATGCACAATACAAGAAAATATTAGAGGAAATTGACAAGTATGAAAATGATTTGGAGGTATTTTCTTTTGGCTATGAGAAGCTTGGCTTCACATGCAGGTTATCATTTTTTCAAATATCTAATTGTTAGCATGGGCTTATTTTTCATAACTGTAATGTTCCATATTAATTGTAGCTCCCATGGTTGCATGTTGTTACTTTTTATGCTAAATGTAATTTGTTTTGATTTATGACTCTTTCCAGTTCAAATGAGTAATTTTCAATTAAATAAAATTAGTGTTGAAATATTCTTGTGATTGATTTGTGTGGAAATAGTGTAAATGATTTTCCAGATCTTTTATTTTATATGTTTAAAATTTAGGCAGATCAATCTAAGAAAGAAATCAGTTCCTTGATGCTCAATAAAGTGTGGAGCAAATATTTGGTTCTTTGTTGCAAGAAAAAATTGAGAATTTTATTGAAGCCCTTAGAATTAGTCCTTTCTCTATTATTTCACTTTTATATGTTTATTTTATTTATTTATTATTTATTTGTGAATGTCTTCTCCTTGTTTCCTTTATCATTTCTTTGTATTACATTGCTTAATAGCTATCTTGTTAACTTTAATTTTTAGTAAAAATGTTATTCTCCATTCATGTTTTTTTTTTTTAGTCTTAGAAGTTGTTTTATGATAAGTTTATATTGCTCTTTTTTTATATAATCTCATCTGGTTTTCAGTGAGACAAGAATAACTTACAGGGAGTGGGCACTAGGAGCTAGGGTTTTTTATGCATTATTTTAACATTTTGAGATTTTAACCATTAATCTTACTAACTTTTATGCAATCAAAAAAGTCTTATTAACTTCTAGATGTTTTGTTTTCTCTTCAATTTTTGTGATTAGTTTATTGCATTTCTTTTCAATCAGTAGCACTGATTGGAAATTTTAACAATTGGAACCCTAATGCAGATATTATGAGCCGGGTATGTTATACTTTCTTATGCAAGAATAAATGCCACGTGTGCATTGAATTGATATTTTCCATGTCTGTAAAATGCTGCCATTGATGTTACTTACATTAAGTGGTTATAAAATTAATCAATACTGTGTAGGTGCACCTACAATATTATTTTAGATTGATTGAAGATCTATTTCATAACATACATAATTAAGCAGTCACAATGCAGTGTGCATGTCAAAATATCAGAACAAAGCACTTATTCTTGGCATCTTTCTTGCAATTTAATATCTATGAAACTACAATCATTTGTGTTTGCTTTTAATGAGCAACTGTTGCCATGACTTTTTTTTGCTTGACCAATGTTCACGAGATCCTTAATTGTTATTTGCCAATACCAGTTCATAAGTAAAATGTTATACTTCTCTAAATTCCATGCTGAAAGAAGTTAAAAAGTTATTAGTTAAGTTTTGCAAAACACTTAGTTTAATGTTGAATCTAAATGTAAACATGTGTGTTGATTTACATTGGCAGTGATCTATTGTCTATTTCTATATTTAAATAACATCTAGTGTTTAATACTATAAATATTAATTATTTTTTAACAGAATGAGTTTGGTGTCTGGGAGATCTTTTGGCCTAATAATGCTGATGGTTCACCACCAATTCCCCATGGTTCTCAAGTGAAGGTAAATTACCTATAGATGAATATAAGTTTGGCTCTTGAAAGTTATTGTGCTTACATTCAAATGCTACTTGTTTATTATTTCCTTTTTTCACTTTTTAAGTCAATAAAAAGAAACTATAAAAACTTGCAACTCTCTCCTTGTAGATCAACAAGGTATTTAGCCTTTTGATCATGACCTGTGGACCAGGAACCTTTAAGTATGGTGCTTTTTTTTTTACACTGATCCTATTGCATGTGTATATGGTTTGAATAAATCATTGGTTTGTACTACAACATTCACAATAATTAATTACTAGAATTCATGACATAAAGGCATTGAAGTATTTAATGGGGTGGTCTCCGAGTCAAGCAAAATTGTTCAAGGTAGCAGAGTTCAAATCCAACTAACTCTCGCCCTAAAAAGAAGGGAGAAAGAAAGAAAAGATGAAGATGAAAAAAAAAAAAACATTTCTCTGGTATTACTAAATAATGAGTATTACTTTAGTTAATGATAATGCAAATACCAAATAGCTAGTGGCTTGGATCTCTGTTAACTGCTTTGTGTATAGAAATATCTTAAATAGCAGTTTCAAATCAATAACATGGAAGTTGGTTTGATTGTATCTAAAACCCATTAAGAAGCCTAAATTTGCAATTAAACCAAAATTTATCTCTAGTTTTCATCATACTGTCATTCAAAGAAAATTTGTCCCACAAACACCTTCAGTCTTCATCTTTTGTGCTACATTTTGATAGGGTTAATCCATTTCCTAGTTTTCTTAATATTATCAACTCTGAGATGCAGGAGCCAATAATTAGCACATATGCCAACTTTAGAGATGATGTGCTTCCCATTAAAAGACTTGGATATAATGCTGTTCAAATCATGGCTATTCAAGAGCACTTGTATTATGCTAGATTTGGGTATTATCTCTATTAAAATATCAGCTCATCTTTATTTGTTGCTGTTTATGTTTGTTAACTTGTACTAAAATGTTATGTTTTGGATGTAAACAGAAATATTTCTTCAGAATTTAGTTTTGGTTATGGAAACTAACCTCTACTACTTTTAACAAGTTGCATTTAATATGTTGCAGGTATCATGTGACAAACTTCTTTGCACCAAGCGGTCGTTTTGGAATCCCTGATGATCTTAAGTCACTGATAGATAGGGCTCACGAGTTGGGTCTACTTGTTCTTATGGATATTGTGCACAGGTAATAATTGGACTTGCTGAAGAATATCATTTCTAAAAACACACCCTTCAGCTTTATTAGCTGTTACAGTTTTTGTGCAAACGGTTTTTCCTAGCTTTTTCATACCTAAAATGAAAATATAAACTCCTTTTCTTCTTCTTTTCTTGCTTAGACTGTATGGTCATTCTTTCAGTAGACTTGATGCAAATATGGCCATGAGAATTTAGGCTGTTATTGGTCCTTACTCTTACTATGTTTTTTCTAGTTGTTTTTGGCTTCCTAAAAGGTTTCTAAAGAACAAACCTAAAAAGGAGAAAGCAAAGTCATAATTGTTTGAAAATATATATGATTAAATGCAATAGAATTTGTAGTATAATTGTTGTATTAAAAGAGGAATCATAGTATTTTGTTCTACAAGAGATTATATTTTTTATTTTAAATTCTTTTAAAGTATTATTGTCTTTTCTACCCAAATGTACTTTCTGCTTCTGGAAGCTAAAAGCTAGTAGCAAAAACAACTACCAAATGGAATCTTACTGTATTGTTTACAATGAATGTTTTTATCTTTTGCATTTCGTTAATGTTAAATTCTTTTCTAAGTTGTAGCAAATTTTTATTCAAGTATTTGCTCTATTGCTTTGAGTGAGTAATCTTTTACTATAAGTCTCAATTAATTTTTATTTTTTAGTTAAATTAAGTTATTAATTAATTTTGTCATCCATCTTTGTATCTGACTGATGTTTGACGAATATAGCCATGCATCTAATAATGTGTTAGATGGATTGAACATGTTTGATGGAACCAATGCTTATTACTTCCACTCGGGGTCAAAGGGTCACCAATGGATGTGGGATTCTCACCTTTTTAATTATGGAAGCTGGGAAGTATGTACTTCTTTTGAAACTTCTCTTAAACAATAGCTTGTTGAAAGATTTTGGCTTCTTTCCATCCTGTTGTGTGTAAATATTAATTTTTACTTGTTGCTTTAGGTACAAAGGTTTCTTCTGTCAAATGAAAGATGGTGGCTGGAAGAATACAAGTTTGATGGGTTCAGATTTGATGTTGTGACTTCAATGATGTACACCTATCATGGGTTGCAATTAATATCTGAGTGAGTTTGCAGATTTTCTATTCTGCTTGATGTTATGTAATAAGTTACTCGCATGTTTAGATGTTAATTATCAAAGTTTTGACTTTATGTTATATAGAGAAGTAGAACTGATGTAACATTTGGTTCTTGTAAGTGGTGAAGCATCATTTCTCTATGTTTGTTTCTTAGCTAAATTCTCTTGAGTACTAAAGGTTTTTAGTGTCATTGCATCTATATAATGTATTATCCTGGCTTAACCTTTGTTTTCTTGAACTTGCTGTAGGTAGCATTTACTAGAAACTACAATGAGTGCTTCGGAAATGCAACTGATGTAGATGTTGTTGTCTATCTAATGCTGGTTAATCATATGATTCATGGGCTATATCCTGAGGCTGTCACCATTGTTGAAGATGTATGTTCTATAACTCCTCTTTGAGTCGCATTGAGCATACTTCGACTTATAATCGTTTATCTGTTCCAGAATTATGATGTCTGCTTTAAGTCCCCTGTCTCTTCTATAGCAATATTTGTTGAACTGGGTTGTGTAAATGGAATGGGGTTTCAATACTTTTTTATGTGATTCATGATGATGCTAAGTGTAGAAATGGTTTTGAAAAAGTTTGCACATGTACTTGTGTGTGCGAAGCCTACCAAACATTTGTGTATTGTACATGTTTTTCTAATTCTATATTGCTTCATCACTTCTCTTCATGCATCAATTGAATCCATATGCCATGAATAAGTAGGTTACCTTGCTAGTAGTTAAGTGTTTTGATATTGTAGAATGAACTAAAGAATTGTTAAAAATGCTTGTTGTAAATTGAACTAATTTTTATTGTAGACCAAGAGTTCTGGAAACATAGCAACTAAAGATGCCAAAAATGAAAATTCCAAAAACACTTGAAGGGAACAAACAAGCATCTCTAGAAATCTTAAAATATCCTTGCTTTTCACATATTTCATCTTTTGTGCAAATAATTCACCTAAAGAGCTACTAGCACAATAAAAGGTAATTTATGTTTTACCCTTTAGAAATATTAGCATAGTAAGGAATATATAATAGATAAAATGTTTATATTGGAGTGATTTAGTTGCAGATTTTCATATATTATTTGCAAAAATAACATTCTTTAAGTTCTATGAATATTGAAAAGGAAAAGAAACAATAGTTGAAGGTAGACTTCCACCATCTTAAAATGTCATCTATCATAATAATCAATTCTCCACTGCTTTTCTTTTTTACTCTGACCTATGTGCTCTAAGAAGTATGCCTTAAGAAACTATAGTATTTGCAATACTAGCTATTCATAAGTCAATGCTTATATCTTCTCTAAATGCACATGCTGAAAGAAGTTAAAAGTTATTTAAGTTTGGTTTGTCAAAACACTTAGCTTAATGTTAAATCTGAATGTAAACATGGATCTTTTTATATGTATGTGGGCATGAATATTCTTCTTAATGGACCAAAGATTAGGTGTATAGTCTGGTGCAGTTGATATTCTTAAAAGCTCCAAATAGAAAAGTTAAGAAGATAAACGTTGTCAAAGTTTTTATAATTAAGTGCAAAAGCCACCTTGCCTATGTAACAATTAATTGTATCAACTAATTCATATATTTAATGCCATGCAGTCTCAAGTATAAAAGGGAAGGTGACTGTGTTTTAAGTGCTTAGAAAGCTGTGTTGATTTACATTGGTAGTGATCTATTGTCTATTTCTATATTTAAATAACATCTAGTGTTTAATTCTACAAATATTAATTGTTTTTTAGCAGAATGAGTTTGGTGTCCGGGAGATCTTTGGGCCTAATAATGCTGACGGTTCACCACCAATTCCCCATGGTTCTCAAGTGAAGGTAAATTACCTGTAGATGAACATAAGTTTGGCTCTTGAAACTTATTGTGCTTACATTCAAATGTTACTTGTTTATTATTTCCTTTTTCCACTTTTTAAGTCAGAGTAAAAAGAAACTATAAAAACTTGCAACTCTTTCTCGGTAGATCAACAAGGTATTTAGCCTTTTGATCATGATCTATGGACCAGGAACCTTTAAGTATGATGCTTTTTTTTAACACTGATCCTATTGCATGTGTATATGGTTTGACTAAATCATTGGTTGTCCTACAACCTTCACAATAATTAATTACTAGAATTCATGACATAAAGGCATTGAAGTATTTAGTGGGGTGGTCTCCAAGTCAAGCAAAATTATTCAAGGTAGCTGAGTTCAAATCCAACTAACTCCCGTCCTAAGGAAGGTAGAAAGAAAGAAAAGAAGAAGATGAAAAAAAAAAAAACCATTTTTCTGGTGGACTGTTCTGATCATGTCAATTATCATTCATCCAAACCTCTTTTTCCATGTGTACATTTTAAGTTTTTGACCATATAATTGTAGATTCGTATGGAAACTCCATCTAGGATTAAGGACTCCATTCTTGCTTGGATCAATTTCTTTGTTCAAGCACTAGGTGAAATCCCATACAACGGAATATACTATGATTTGCCAAAAGAGTACAGTTGGCGGCTATTTGCTCTTTTGGTTTTGTTGGAAAGATTAGATAACTTATTCTTTTCAAACTATAAGCAGCTGAAATATTTGGAGCTTGGGGAAAATCAGAAATACCAACTATTGTTTATGATAATTTTAAAATGACTGCATGTGTGTGAAGATACATAGACAAAAGCATGCATGTATGCCTGCACACAAATATGATTAATTGATTATATAAACAAATAATGAATTTCTTATTCATCTTAGGTTGTTTTGATGAACATCTTCCTTTATAATGTTAATAGTAAGATCAATGCCCTTAAAGGTTTTTAAGAAAACAATTTTGATTTGTCTTTTTCATATATGAAGTCGGTTTCTAAATTGTGTTCTCGCTTATTCAAGTTTAATCACTGCACAGCACAGTCAACGTAGTTTAGTCTATAATATGTTTGTTATCTCAAATTTTTGTACTCTCTAACCTGACTAATGATTTTTATACTGTAATAGGAAAAGTATGTATTCAAACACCGCCAGCCAAAAAAACCAAAATCACTTAAGTCTATGAATCACATGTTGGAATGAGTAGCATGGTATGCATCTTCCTTTCCCTTGCATGTAGCAAATTGTTATTCAACTCTTCTGTCTCTGCACTGAATTGCATTTCCTTGATTTATTTAATCTTAAAAGAGGAAACCTTAAGTTTGATAAAAAGCTTCATTAAATGCTATCATGTGTGGGATCATATTTTTTATGCTATTTCTTTCAACCCTTCTTATGAAGTGTTCTTGCTAGGTTTTGAGACTGAAAAGTGAAGCAGGAGGTTTTATAAGACAATACATTTTAGAGGAAAACTTATCTTAGTATCTGTATTTAAACTATCAATTTTACCCCCCCTAAAAAAAGAAGAAAGATAGAGAGACATTTTGACTTGAATTGAACATTTTTAAGAGCATCAAACAGTATAGTTGTCTAGAAAGGCCTATAAATTTTGAAACGGAACTTTCCTACATCCTGTAGGCAGGATGGCCTCTCTTGAAGAGAAAATCTGTCAAATTAAGCTAGCAAAAAGCCACGTAAGTGTATACGGCCTACTTTTTGTGTTCTTTGGTTAGAGGAAGTCCTTCCATTTGGATTATACTAAATAATGAGTATAACTTTAGTTAATGATAATGCAAAATGCCAAACAGCTAGTGAATTGGATCTCTGTTAATTGCTATGTATAGAAATATCCTAAATAGCAGTTTCAAATCAATAAAATAGAAGTTGGTTTATTGCATTTCATTATGATTCTTCACCCATTTCTAAAACCCATTAAGAAGCCTAAATTTGTAATTAAACCGAAATTTATCTCTAGTTTTCATCATACTGTCATTCAAAGAAAATTTGTCCCACAAATGCCTTCAGTCTTTATCTTCCATGGTACACTTTGGTATGGTTAATCCATTTCCTAGTTTTCTTAATATTATCAACTCTGAGATGTAGGAGCCAATAATTAACACATATGCCAACTTTAGAGATGATGTGCTTCCCCGCATTAAAAGACTTGGATATAATGCTGTTCAAATCATGGCTGTTCAAGAGCACTCATATTATGTTAGATTTGGGCATTATCTCCATCAAAATATCAGCTCATCTTTATTTGTTGCTGTTTATGTTTGTTAACTTGTACTAAAATGTTATGTTTTGGATGTAAACAGAAATATTTCTTCAAAATTTAGTTTTGGTTATGGAAACTAACCTCTTCTACTTTTAACAAGTTGCATTTAATATGTTGTAGGTATCATGTGACAAACTTCTTTGCACCAAGCTGTCGTTTTGGAACCCTTGATGATCTTAAGTCACTGATAGATAAGGCTCATAAGTTGGATCTACTTGTTATTATGGATATTGTGCACAGGTAATAATTGGACTTGCAAGAGAATGTCTTCTCTAGAAACACATCCTTCAGCTTTATTTGTTGTTACAGTTTTTGTGCAAACGGTTTTTCCTAGCTTTTTCATACCAAAAATGAAAATATAAACTCTTTTTCTTCTTCTTTTCCTATTTAGACTGTATGGCCATTCTTCTAGTAGACTTGATGCAAATATGGCCATGAGAATTTAGGCCGTTATTGGTCCTTGCTCTTACTATGTTTTTTCTAGTTGCTTTTGGCTTCCTAAAAGGTTTCTAAAGAACAAACCTAAAAAGGAGAAAGTAAAGTCATAGTTGTTTGAAAATATATATAATTAAATGCAATAGAATTTGTAGTATAATTGTTCTATTAAAAGAGGAATCATAGTATTTTGTTCTACAAGAAATTATATTTTTTATTTTTAATTCTTTTAAAGTATTATTATCTTTTCTACCCAAATGTACTTTTTGTTTCCGGAAACAAAAAGCTAGTAGCAAAAACAACTACCAAATGGAATCTTACTGTATTGTTTACAATGAAAGCTTTTATCTTTTGCATGTTGTTAATGTTAAATTCCTTTCTAAGCTGTAGCAAATTTTTAATCAAGTATTTACTCTATTGCTTTAAGTAAGTAATCTTTTGCTATAGATTTTCTATTTTGCTTGGTGTTATATAATAAGTTACTTGCATGTTCAGATGTTAATTATCAAAGTTTTGATTTTATGTTATATAGAGAAATAGAACTGATGTAACATTTGGTTCTTGTAAGTGGTGAGGCATCATTTCTCTATGTTTGTTTTTTAACAAAATTCTCTTGAGGACTAAAGATTTTTAGTGTCATTGCATCTTCATAATGTATTATCCCGGCTTAACCTTTGTTTTCTTGAACTTGCTATGGGTAGCATTTACTGGAAACTACAATGAGTACTTTGGATATGCAATTGATGTAGATGCTGTTGTCTATCTGATGCTGATTAATCATATGATTCATGGGCTATATCCTGAGGTTGTCACCATTGGTGAAGATGTATGTTCTATAACTCTTATTTGAGTCACATTTAGCTTCCTTCGACTTATAATCATTTATCTGTTCCAGAATTAAGATGTCCGCTTTAAGTCCCCTGTCTCTTCTATGGCAACATTTGTTGCACTAGGTTGCGTAAATGGATTGGGGTTTCAATACTTTTTTACGTGATCCATGAGGATGCTAAGTGTAGAAATGTTTTTGAAAAAGTATGCACACATGTACTTGTGTGTGCGTAAGCGTACCAAACATTTGTGTTTTGATGCCATGAATAAGTAGATTTCCCTGCTAGTTGTTAAGTGTTTTGATATTGTAGAATGAACTAAAGAATTTTTAAAAATGCTTGTTGTAAATTGAACTAATTTTTATTGTAGACCAAGAGTTATGGAAACATAGCAACTAAAGATGCCAAGAATGAAAATTCCAAAAACACTTGAAGGGAACAAACAAGAATATCTAGAAATCTTAAAATATCCTTGCTTTTCACATATTTCATCTTTTGTGCAAATAATTCACCTAAAGAGCTACTAGCACAATAAAAGGTAACTTATGTTTAACCCTTTAGAAATATTAGCATAGTAAGGAACATTTAATTGATAAAATGTTTATATTGGAGTGATTTAGTTGCAGATTTTCATATATTATTTGCAAAAATAACATTCTTTTAAGTTCTATTAATATTGAAGAGGAAAAGAAACAATAGTTGAAGGTAGACTTCCACCATTTTAAATTGTCATTTGTCATAATAATCAATTCTTCCCTGCTTTTCTCTTTGACTTAAACCATGTGCCCTAAGATATATGCCTTAAGAAACTGTAGTATTTGCAATACCAGCTATTCGTAAGTCAATGCTTATATCTTCTTTAAATGCACATGCCGAAAGAAGTTAAAAGTTATTTAAGTTTGGTTTGTCAAAACACTTAGTTTAATGTTAAATCTGAATGTAAACATGGGTCTTTTTATATGTATGTGAGCATGAATATTCTTCTTAATGGACCAATGATTGGGTGTATAGTCTGGTGCAGTTGGTATTCTTAAAAGCTCCAAATAGAAAAGTTAAAAAGATAAATGTTGTCAAAGTTTTTATAATTAAGTGCAAAAGCCACCTTGCTTATGTAACAATTAATTGTATCAGCTAATTCATATATTTAATGCCATGCAGTCTCAAGTATAAAAGGGAAGGTGACTGTGTTCTAAGTGCTTAGATAGCTGTTTTGATTTCCACTGGCAGTGATCTATTGTCTATTTCTATATTTAAATAACATCTAGTGTTTAATTCTACAAATATTAATTGTTTTTTAATAGAATGACTTTGGTGTCTAGGAGATATTTTGGCTAATAATGCTTATGGTTCACCACCAATTCTCCATGGTTCTCAAGTGAAGGTAAATTACCTGTAGATGAACATAAGTTTGGCTACTTGTTTATTATTTCCTTTTTCCACTTTTTAAGTCAGAGTAAAAAGAAACTATAAAAACTTGCAACTCTTTCCCAGTAGTCAAAAGGTATTTAGCCTTTTGATCATGATCTATGGACCAGGAACCTTTAAGTATGATGCTTTTTTTTAACATTGATCCTATTGCATGTGTATATGGTTTGACTAAATCATTGGTTGTACTACAGCCTTCACAATAATTAATTACTAGAATTCATGACATAAAGGCATTGAAGTATTTAGTGGGGTGGTCTCCAAGTTAAGCAAAATTATTCAAGGTAGTTGAGTTCAAATCCAACTAACTCCTGTCCTAAAAGGAAGGGAGAAAGAAAGGATGAAGATGGAAAAAAAATATTTTTTTGGTGGATTGTTATGATCATGTCAATTATCATTCATCCAAACCTCTTTTTCCATGTGTCCATTTTAACTTTTTGACCATATAATTGTTGATTCATATGGAAACTCCATCTGGGATTAAGGACTCCATTCTTCCTTGATCAAGTTCTCTGTTCAAGCACCAGGTGAAATCCCATAGAACGGAATATACTATGATCTGCCAGAAGAGGTATAATTTGTGGCTATTTGATCTTTTGGTTTTGTTGGAAAGATTAGATAACTTATTCTTTTCAAACTATTAAGCAGCTAAAATATTTGGAGCTTGGCGAAAATTAGAAATACCAACTAATGTTTAGGATAATTTTAAAATGACTGCATGTGTGTGAGGATACATAAACAAAAGCATGCATGCATGCCTACACACAAATATGATTAATTGATATATAAACGAATCATGAATTTCTTATACTTCTTAGAGTAGGTTGTTTTGATGAACGTCTGCCTTTATAATGTTAACATTAACATCAATGCCCTTGAAGGTTTTTAAGAAAACAATTTTGATTGGTTCTCTTTCATATATGAAGTCAGTTTCTAAATTGTGTTCTCACTTGTTCAAGTTTAATCATTGCACAGCACAGTCAACTTAGTTTAGTCTATAATATGTGTCTTATCTCAAATTTTTGTACTCTTTATCCTGACTAATGATTTTTATACTATTAACAGGAAAAGTATGTATACAAACACCCCCAGCCAAAAGGACCAAAATCACTTAAAGTCTGAATCACATGTTGGAATGGGTAGCATGGTATGCATCTTCCTTTCCCTTGCATGTAGCAAATTGTTTTTCAACTCTTCTATCTCTGTGTTGAATTGCATTTCCTTAATTTATTTAATCTTAAAAGAGGAAACCTTAAGTTTGATAAAAAGCTTCATTAAATGCTATCATGTATGGGATCATATTTTTTATGCTATTTCTTTCAACCTTTCCTACGAAGTGTTCTTGCAAGGTTTTGAGACCGAAAAGTGAAGCAGGAAGTTTTATAAGACAATACATTTTACTGGAAAATTTATCTTAGTATCTGTATTTAAACTATCAATTTTACCTCCCCTCCCCCTCCCAAAAAAAAAAAAACAAAAGGAAGGTAGAGAAACATTTTGACTTGCATTGAACACCTTTAAGAGCATCAAACAGTATAACTGTCTAGAAAGGGTTGTAAATTTTGAAACCGAACTTTCCTGCATCCCACAGGCAGGGCGGCCTCTCTTAAAGAGAAAATTTGTCAAATTAAACTAGCAAAAAGCCACTTAAGTGCATACGGCCTACTTTTTGTGTTCTTTGGTTAAAGGAAGTCCTTCCATTTGGAATGCTAAATAATGAGTATTACTTTAGTTAATGATAATGCAAATGCCAAACAGCTAGTGACTTGGATCTCTGTTAACTGCTTTGTGTATAGAAATATCTTAAATAACAGTTTCAAATCAATAACATAGAAGTTGGTTTGATTGCATTTCATTATGATTCTTTACCCATTTCTAAAACCCATTAAGAAGCCTAAATTTGCAATTAAACCAAAACTTATCTCTAGTTTTCGTCATACTATCATTCAAAGAAAATTTGTCGCACAAACTCCTTTAGTCTTTATCTTCCATGGTACACTTTGGTATGGTTAATCCATTTCCTAGTTTTCTTAATATTATCAACTCTGAGATGCAGGAGCCAATAATTAACACATATGCCAACTTTAGAGATGATGTGCTTCCTCGCATTAAAAGACTTGGATGTAATGCTGTCCAAATCATGGCTGTTCAATAGCACTCATATTATGCTTGATTTGGGTATTATCTCCATCAAAATATCAGCTTATCTTTATTTGTTGCTATTTATGTTTGTTAACTTGTACTAAAATATTATGTTTTGGATGTAAGCAGAAATATTTATTCAGAATTTAGTTTTGGTTATGGAAACTAACCTCTTCTACTTTTAACAAGTTGTATTTAATATGTTGCAGGTACGATGTGACAAACTTCTTTGCACCAAGCAGTCGTTTTGGAACCCTTGATAATCTTAAGTCACTGATAGATAGGGCTCATGAGTTGGGTCTACTTGTTCTTATGGATATTGTGCATAGGTAATAATTGGACTTGCAGGAGAATATCATTTCTAGAAACACACCCTTTAGCTTTATTTGCTGCTACAGTTTTTGTGCAAACGCTTTTTTCCAGCTTTTTCATACCAAAAATGAAAATATAAACTCTTTTTCTTCTTCTTTTCCTGCGTAGATTGTATGGTCATTCTTCCAGTAGACTCGATGCAAAAATGGTCATTAGAATTTAGGCTGTTATTGGTCCTTATTCTTGCTATGTTTTTCTAGTTGCTTTTGGCTTCCTAAAAGGTTTCTAAAGAACAAACCTAAAAGGGAAAAAGCAAAGTGATAATTGTTTGAAAATATATATGATTAAATGAGTAGAATTTGTAGTATAATTGTTCTATTAAAAGAGGAATCATAGTATTTTGTTCTACAAGAGATTATATTTTTTATTTTTAATTCTTTTAAAGTATTATTGTCTTTTCTATCCAAATGTACTTTCTGCTTGTGGAAGCAAAAAGCTAGTAGCAAAAACAACTACCAAATGGAATCTTACTATATTGTTTACAATGAAAGTTTTTATCTTTTGCATGTCATTAATGTTAAATTCTTTTCTGAGCTGTAGCAAATTTTATTCAAGTATTTGCTCTGTTGCTTTGAGTAAGTAATCTTTTGCTACAAGTCTTAGTTAATTTTTATTCTTTAGTTAATTTAAGTTATTAATTAATTTTTTCATCCATCTTTGTATCTAACTTATGTTTGACAAATACAGCCATGCATCTAATAATGTATTAGATGGATTGAACATGTTTGATGGAACCGATGCTTATTACTTCCACTCGGGGTCAAGAGGTCACTACTGGATGTGGGATTCTCGCCTTTTTAATTATGGAAGCTGGGAAGTATGTACTTCTATTGAAACTTCTCTTAAACAATAGCTTGTTGAAAGATTTTGGCTTCCTTCCATCTTATTGTGTGTAAATATTAATTTTTACTTGTTGCTTTAGGTACAAAGGTTTCTTCTTTCAAATGCAAGATGGTGGCTAGAAGAATACAAGTTTGATGGGTTCAAATTTGATGTTGTGACTTCAATGATGTACACCTATCATGGGTTGCAGGTAATATCAGAATGAGTTTGCAGATTTTCTATTTTGCTTGGTGTTATATAATAAGTTACTTGTGTGTGCGTAATCCTACCAAACATTTGTGTATTGTACATGTTTTTCTAACTCTCTACTGTTTCATCACTTCTCTTCATGCATCAATTGAATCCATATGCCATGAATAAGTACATTACCGTGCTAGTAGTTAAGTGTTTTGATATTGTAGAATGAACTAAAGAATTGTTAAAAATGCTTGTTGTAAATTGAACTAATTTTTATTGTAGACCAAGAGTTATGGAAACATAACAACTAAAGATGCCAAAAATGAAAATTCCAAAAACACTTGAAAGGAACAACCAAGAATCTCTAGAAATCTTAAAATATCCTTGCTTTTCATGTATTTCATCTTTTGTGCAAATAATTCACCAAAAGGGCTACTAGCACAATAAAAGGTAATTTATGTTTTACATTTTAGAAATATTAGCATTGTAAGGAACATTTAATTGATAAAATGTTTATATTGGAGTGATTTAGTTGCAGATTTTCATATATTATTTGCAAAAATAACATTCTATAAGTTCTATGAACATTGCAGAGGAAAAGAAACAATAGTTGAAGGTAGACTTCCATCATCTTAAATCGTCATATGTCATAATAATCAATTAAATAATTAGTAAAACCAATAAAGGATAATACTTAGAGGAATGTAATTGAGATGAGTAATTCTTTTGGGAAAATGTCAATATTCTTTATCTTTGTTATGCTAATTGTGCAATTGTGTATGCTATAGGTGAGTAGAATGCCTACATTTTGCCTTTGTCCAAGATTGTGTCAGATTTGATTATCGACTGCACATAGCCATTATTAATAAATGGATTGAGCTTGATTATTGAAAAATGTTAAATTGATTATTTCTTGATTTCTTGTGAAAATTTTGAAATATATTTTATGCTTGATTGTTATGTCACAATTTATTTGATTGTGATGAAATATTTTTGAAATATGCGTGATCTTGTGCTTACTTGACTTATTTCTTAATTTGTGATTTTAAATTTGATGCATGATTAGCTAATTTATCTTAACTAAAATATATTATTGGCTCATCTATTATTCATGTCATGTGTGCTTATATGAATATAATTGAGCTTTACTTGACATGGTTGTAACATGGATTAAGTGATTTTCTTATAATGCTTATGTTTATTTTAAATCATTATTGATTATGGTTTATAATTTATGTAGATATATTTATGTTTTTGTCGTAAAATTTTCTTGATTATGTTTTTGATAAAAAGCATGTTTTTTTTGAGTTTTTTGAATTCTATAGGGCCTTAAATTGGTTTTGACATATTTCTTGGTGATTTACTGAATATATATGAATATTAAATATGTCCATTTTGTGTTAATGAATAATCTAAAAGATTTGATTTTTGCACATTACATGAGAATTTTAACTTTAATGACAATATTGTAATATATGATGCTTAATTTGATACATGGTTTTTAGTAAGTTTATATACACACACATAATATCTCTTTTCTAATTGAAAAATTGGACTTAGTGAACAAAATTTCATTTGTCTATAATGATTTAGAATATGGAATTCATTTCAAATAATTGGTATAATTTTTATCAATTGATTTTCTTGATGTTTTAATGAAAATCCTTTGTCAAGAAATTTTTCTAAGTTTATGTTAGGAGAACTTGAAATAAGCATGAACTGTCATTTTTGAGATTTTAAGTGGAACAAGCAAAGCAAATCATCTTCATCAATCAAGTTCAAGTACATTAAGGACTAGCTTAAAAATGTGAAATGGAGGATTCAAAACTTCATTCAACTACAATAAGCATAACATAACTTGATAAGGATGAAGGTAATTGTATTGAATCTATATTATGTGCCTATGATTTATAATTTGATACATGGTTTGATAAATGCTTATTTGATATATGCAAAAATAAGATATTATGTTTGAATTTGTGAACAATTTGCACAAATTAATCATCAAGTTACTTAATAGAATTTGCCTTAATTTTGTTAAATGCTTGGATTGATTAATATGCATGCCTATTTCTTGATTGCTTCGATTAATAGTTTTTATGGCATGAAAATTCGTTTGAGTTTTTGGACATAGATATAAGTTAAATAGATTGATTTTTTTGAACATGTTCACCGATTAAGATCATTGAGATAACATGTATCACATTATGTCTAAATGTTTGTATCTTTATTGGTATATTGCAATATGTGATTTTAAAATATTTTTGCATGTGCTTGTATGATTTTGATTGAAAAATATGTTTAATTGTATTTATATACTTGTATATGTTTGGATTAAAAATATTGCTTTATATTGAAATAATTTAGATTATATTTAAATAATTATGCTTTCATTATTTCTTTACTATAGCATATGTGTTCATTATGCTCGAAAAATCATGATTGTATAATTCTTTATTATAATATGATGATTAAATATTTGTTTTAGATAGGATATGCTTATGAAAGAATGTTATTATGCATGTATTGATTGAACATTTCATATGCTTGAAATATATTGTGATATTTAAAAGTTTGTGAATAAAATAGCTAACAATTGGTATTAAAATTGCTAAAGAATTTTTTAACTTTCATTGACATTTGTTTATATACCTATCAGTCATATAGCTTGTACCTTTTATACAAAATTGTATCTTAAATTGATTAATCCTTATTTAAAAAAAAAAATCTTAGACTATAATTTTACTTGATTTGTTTTCTGATAACAGTTAGTATGCTTTGTGATAATATATATTTAACAATTGATATAAGCTTGTATGCATGTGCTTAAATTTATACTAAATTGCTATTGATATTTTAAGTTCTAAGTACATTGATAACAAGATTTATGAGTAGCTTACATATTATTTATTATCTTTTTGTTCATAAATTTCATGTAGGTAGGTTGAATGAATGATTTTGTGTTATAACATTTTAATTGGATATACTTATATTTTTGTACTTGAATATATGTATGTGAACTTTACTGTGCATATTACACTTGATTACATGCATTTAAAATACTCTTAATATTATTGGTAACAAGTATTTTGTCTCATGTCTTGAATTGATTTTTTTTTTACAATGACAAAAAAAGAGAGTTTATAAATATTTCTTCTTGTATGTATACAGTATTTGGTATGGGAGTTTTAACATAACCTTTTTTTTTGTGTTTATTTGCTCATCTTTTTGCTATGATAAAAAGGGAGAGAAATATCATATGGATAAATTTGTTTGTGTTTTACATGTATATGTTTGGTTGTGTTTATTTGATATTTAATTAACATATATTTGTTGAGTTGTGTTAGATTATGATACGTTAATTAAAAGGGAGTTTTGTCATGTAAAGTTTAATTTGCTTGATAAAAAAAATTCATTATAATTCGTATATAATGAATTATGTGATGAATATTATATGGATAAAAATTTCTTTAAGTTTAATTTTTAAATCTTCAAATGATTTTTGATTTGGTATTGTATAACTCAAAGAGATGATCAAATTAGCGAGTAAAGTATAAAATAAAATACAACTGTCTAGCTTGACTAGATTGATCCTTTTTTTAAGGGATCGATTCATTTTTTGATCAAAAAGCAAATTTGATTTCACAAAGCAAGAAGGGATTGATCACCCTACATGGGGATCAATCACCTTAATGATAAGATTAATCCCTCATGGAGGTAATCGATCCATTCACGTAAAATGCCACCAAATTCGTTTTGGCTATTCGAATAGTTTGGAATCATAATGTGTCAAGCTTATGTTAAATCCCTTTGACCTTTGACTTTTAATCTTTGACTTTTGATTTTGATTTTTTAAAATTTTTCAATAATTTAAAAAATAATAATATATTTTTTTAATTAAAAAAGTATGTATTACAGATATTTATTTAATTATATTTTTAATCTTGAAATAAGTATTTATGTTAAAATTAAGAATTTATTTTCAATGCTTGAATTATTATTTCTCATTCAATTTCATTACTCTTATAAATCTCATGTGCACATATGGATGAAAATTATCTCTTGATGCAATGCATATGTGATCAAAATACTTGATTATTGAAAAATGTTAAATTGATTATTTCTTGATTTCTTGTGAAAATTTTAAAACATATTTTGTGCTTGATTGTTATGTCACAATTTATTTAATTGTCTATGATTTTGAATTGTGATGAAATATGCTTGCTTTTGTGCTTAATTGACTTATTTTTTGATTTGTGATTTTAATTTGATGTATGATAAGCTAATTGATATTAAATAAAATAAATTATTAGCGCATCTATTGTTCATGTCATGTGTGTTTATATGAATATGATTGAGCTTTACTTGATATGCTTGTAACATAGATTAAGTGATTTTTTTATAATTCTTATGTTTGTCTTAAGTCATTATTGATTATGAACTATAATTTGTGTAGGCATATTTATGCTTTTGTGATGAAATTTTTTTAATTATGTTTTTTATGATAAATGTCTTTTTTGAGTTGAATTCTATATGGTCTCAAATTGGTTTTGATATATTCTTTAGTGATTTATTAAATATATATGAATATTGAATATGTCTATTTTGTGTTCATGAATGATCTAAAATATTTAATTTTTGCACATTACGTGAGAACTTTAGCTTTAGTGTTAATATTATGATATTTGATGCTTAATTTGATACATGACCTTTAGCTTAAGTTTATATATATATATATATATATTTATATATATCTCATTTCTAATAGAAAAATTAAGCTTAGTGAACAAAATTTCTTTTGTCTATAATGATTTAGAATATGGAATTCCTTTCGAACAATTGATATAATTTTTATCAATTGATTTTCTTGATGCTTTTAATGAAAATTTTTTATCAAGAAATTTTTCTAAGTCTATGCTAGGAGAGCTTAAAGTGAGCGAACTTACATTTTTGAGATTTTAAGTGGAACAAGTAAAGTAAGTCATCTTCATCAATCAAGTTCAAGTACATCAAAAGTTAATTTAAATGATATGGAATGGAGGATTCAAAGTCTCACTCAACTAGAATGAGCACAATAACATAACTTGATAAAGATGGAGGTAATTGTATTGAATCTATGCTATGTGCTTATGATTTATAATGTTTAATACATTGTTTGATAAATGCTTACTTTGATATGTGCAAAAATGAGATATTATGTTTGAATTTGTGAATATTTTGCACAAATTAATCATCAAGTTATGTGATAAAATTTGTCATAACTTTGTTAAATGCTTGGATTGATTAATATTTATGCTTATTTTTTGATTGCTTTGATTAATAGTTTTTATTGCATGATATTCGTCTGAGTTATTGGACATGGATATAAGTTAAATAGAGTATTGCTTTGTATTGAAATAATTTGGATTATATTTGAATAATTATATCGTCATTATTTCTTTGTTATAGCATATATGTTCATTATGCTTGAAAATCATGATTGGACAATTCTTTGTTATAACATGATCATTGAATAGTTGTTTTGGATCGGATATGCTTATGAAAAAATGCTATATGCATGTGTTGATTGAACATTTCATATGGTTGAAATATATAGTTATCCTTAAAAGTTTGTGAACAAAATAGCTAACAATTGGTATCAAAATTGCTAAAGAATTTTTTAACTTTTATGGACACTTGTTTATGTATCTATTCTTGATATAGTTTATATTTTTCGTGCAAAATTGTGTGTCTTAAATTGATTAATCTTTATTTTGAAAAGGAGGAGATATCTTAAAATATAATTTTGCTTGATTTGTTTTTTGATAACAATTGGTATACTTTGTGATAATATATCTTTAAGAATTGGTATAAGCTTGTATGCATTTGCTTGAATTTATGCTTAATTGCTATTGATGTTTTAGGTTCTAAACACATCTTATAATAACATAATTTATGAGTAGGTTGCATATCATTTATTATCCTTTTGGTCATAAATTTCTTGTGGTTAGGTTGAATGAATGATTTTGTGACATAACGTTTTAATTAGATACATTTATGTTTTTGTACTTTGACACTGAAGTGTTTGCATATCACACAACTTGAGCTAAGATTAAGGAGAACTTATTTAAAAATAAGATGGGTCTATCTTTGTCCAAATTCATTAAATAAATGCATAAATAAGATTGATCGGAGTAGGAAGATTGTGTTTACATTAGCTAGAAAAGAAAAGCATGAAGGTAGATGGGGTTGTGATTAGATTCATTATCATGTAATCTGTAAGAGTAAATGGATAGAAGATTGTGTTCACATTATAAAATATGGTGCTCACTTGTAAATCCTTTGATTTTAGGCATGATTTTTACAATTCAATCTGTAAGTTCCCATGCTAGGATGGATATTCCTAATCTATTTATTTGTTGTATTCTTTGGTTGAATGTAAAATAGAGTTTTTTTATCTTAAGCAATCTTTTAGATTGTTTTTCAAGTTTTGTATCTCTTAGGTGGATTTCTTAGATTGGTGAATTTCTATTGTTTTATATCTTTGATTAGAATTCTTAAGGTGGTATTTATGTATCCCTTAGTTTTTAAACTTGATGGTGAACTTTTATCCATTTCAATTCAATAATCATATTTTGTCATTATTCAAATCTTTGTGAGTTGTTTTCTTTGTGAGTTTTTTTATTTACAGTTAATTTTCATATCTCAAATATCAATTTCTGACATCAAATTGGTATTAAAGCTATGACAGATCGTCATTGTCAAGCACCAATAAAAGAGGTTGAAGCCAATATCGATGTTGTAGTAACTACCAATGTTGACCCAAAGGATGCCTTTATAGAGGAGATGTCACAACAGATCTTTTAACTACAACATCAGTTGCATATACAATAAGGGAAAGGAAAGATAAGGAGGCAACGAAGGAGAAACCAATCCATACCATAGAAATAATAGTGATTCTGATAATAGCATCCTATTTCACCCATGGCAAGTCGGAGACTATCTATTTGAAAATCAACTTCAACCTAGCATCTTGAAGAATTCTTAGATTGGTTACACACGGTGGAACGTATATTTGAATACCATAATGGCCTTGAACATGGCAAGGTGATGCTAGTGGCCATCAGACTTAGAAAGCATGCATCCTTTTGGTGAGAAAATCTAAAGAAACAAAAGGAAAGAGAAGGTTGAAAAATTACAACTTAGGAGAAGATGAAAATAGAGTTTAAAAGAAAGTATCTCTTAGATAACTTTCGGCAAGATGTCTTTCTTAGGCTCTATAACTTAAAGCAAAGGGATCTTTTGGTGAAAAAATATATTAACAAGGGAAGCATATCCAAGACTAGTGTTTTTACAAAATCTTCTTTAAATCTAACTTTAAAGAAGGAATGAGCCATTCATAGCAAACCGTAATCTAGTATTGTTAACACTCAAACCTAAAGAGACTTCAAGTGCCAAGGAGTTGTACATATACATTCTAAGTGTTCAATTTTCAAGATAGTTATGTTAGTTGAAGATGAAGATCTTGAAGATGCTAATAGAGAACCTATTGAAGTACCCCAGGATCTTGAAAAAGATGTTAAGAGTACCTATGGTGATCTTGAATCCTCACTTGTTATACAATACGGCATAAGTGATGTGCATGTAGACGAAGAAGATTGGTTGCACAAGAATAAATTTCACACTAAAAGCATTGTTCAAGATAAGGTATGTGATGTTATGATTGATAGTGAAAGTTTTAAAAATAAGCCTCAAAACAGTAGATCACCTTCAATCATATAAGCTATCTTGGCTGTAAAAAGAGAATGAAATCAAGGTTAACAAGAGGTGTTTGGTTTTTTTTTCTATAGGAAAGCAATACAAGGATGAAGTGTGATGTGATGTAGCCTTTATAGATGCTTGCCTCAATGAAGAGAGAAAATCAATTGCCTTTTTTAGTGAGAAGCTCAATGATTTTTGACAGAAGTACTCAATTTATGATAAGAAGTTTTATGCTATTTATAGAGCTTTGTTTTTTTGGAGTCAGTATCCCCTTGTCAAGTCATTTGTTCTTAATTATAGCCTTTGTCATCATTCCCAAACTGATGAGGAAACTGAAGTTATCATTCACAACTTAAAATTTTTTTGAGGAGTTATGCAGACAAAAAAACTAAAACAATAGAAACTTGTTTTACTATAGGTGAGGTTTGGCTACAATCATTCACTATGTCAAACCATCGATAGTAGCTTTTTTGAAATTATTCTTGATAAGAATGCAATATGTCATTTGAATTTAATTCAACTTTATGCTAACCAACATTTTGATGGAGATTTAGAAAAAAATATCCAAAGTATAAAAATATTTCATGAATAGGTTCAGAATAGAATTTTACAAAAAAATGAGAAATATAAAAGAGCAATAATCATGCATTGAAGACGTGAAGTTCAAGGAACATGATTTTGTGTGAAATTACTTACACAAAGAAAAGTTTTCACAAGAAAAATTTGGTAAATTATACCCTAAGGTAGATGGTCCATTTAGAATTCTTTAAACCATTGGGGAGAATGCCTATAAGATAAAGTTTCTCAACACTTATGGAGTCTCTTCCACTTTCAATGTTGATGATTTGTCACCATACCATGATAAGAATACTAGTTTAGACTTGAAGAAAAGTCTTTTTCAATCAGAGGAGATTGACACTGAAGTGTCTGTACATCATATAACTTGGGTTGAGACTAAAGCAGACATATCTAAAAATAAGATAGGCCTACTTTTGATCTAAATTCACTAAATAAATGTAAAAGTAAGGTGGGCTGTAATATGAAGATTGTGTTCAAATTAATTTGAAAAACAATCTAAAAGATTGCTTAAAGATAAAGAAAATTCTAGTCTGCTTTCTACCAAAAAATAACAGCAAATAAATAGATTAGGAACATCCATCCTAACATGAGAACTTTTAGATTGAATTGTTAGAATCATGCCTAAAATCAAAGAATTTGCATGTGAACACAATATTCTATAATGTGAATGCAATCTTTTACCCATTTACTCTTGTAGATTATATGATAATAAATCTGATCACAATCTCATCTACCTTCATGCTCTTCTCTTCTAGCTAATGTGAACATAATCTCTCTATTTCAGTTCACCTTATTTATGCATTTATTTAGTGGATTTGGACCAAAGATAGGGCAATCTTATTTTTTTGGATAAGTCTTTCTTAGTCTCAGTCCAAGTTCTAAGATACGCGGATACTCTGGTGTCAATCTCCTCTGACTAGAAAAGATTTGTCCTTAAGTCTGAATTAGTATTCTCACCATGGTAGGGTGACAAATCATCAACATTGAAGGTGGAAGACACTCCATAAGTGTTATAAAGCTCTATCTTATAGGCATTCTCTCCAATGCGTTGGTGAATTCTAAATCGACTATCTGTCTTAGACTGTAATTTGTCAAACTTCCATTGTGAAAACCTTTCTTTGTGCAAGTAATCCCACACCAAATCATGTTCTTTGAAATTCACGTCTTCGAGGCATGATTATTGCCCTTTTACATTTCTCATTTTTTTGTAAAATTTTATTCTGAACCTGTTTATGAATATTTTAATACTCGTTTTTTTTTTTTACATCTCCATCAAAATGCTAGTTAGCATAAAGTTGAATTAAATCCAAATGACAGATTGCATTCTTACTAAGAACAATTTCAAAATGATTGTAAACAATGGTTTGATTTAGTGAGTGATTGTAGGTGAACTTCACCTGTAGTAAAACAAGTTCCCATTGTTTTAGTTTTTTCCTGCATAACTCCTTAAGAAAATTTTCAAACTATGATTGATAACTTCAGTTTCCTCAAAAATTTTCAAGCTGTGATTGATAACATTAGTTTTCTCATCGGTTTGGGAATGATGACAAGTAAGAGTGTAATCGGTCGAATTTGAGCCGATACAATATCAAGCTCGAGCTTGAGCTCGATTCAAAATTCAAGGCTCGAAACTCAGCTCGAACTTGATTGAGTTTTATTTTTTTAACTCGAGCTTGACTCGATATAGAAATTGAGCTACTCGAGCTCGATTAACATGTAAAAAAAAGCTTGATTCTTATATTTGACAAAAGCTCGATTATTTGTGCTCGAGATCGAATTCGAGATATTTTATTAAATAAAATAATAAAAATATAAAAGCTTTGTTAGGGTCGTGAGTTATCCGAATCAGGTATAAGAATACTTGAACTCGGCTCGATTGATGAGTTGAGCTACTCGAGCTCGAACTCAACTCAATAATGATTGAGTCGAATTTGAGTTTTATTCGAATCGAATCCGAGTAGCTTGCGAGTACTAATATATCATTTACACCCCTAATGACAAGGGCTATAATTAAGAACAAATGACTTGGCTCGGGGATATGGACTTTAAAGGAACAAAGCTCTATAAATAGCATAGAACATCTTGTCATAAATTGAGTACTTCAATCGAAAATCATTGAGCTTTTCACCAAAGAAGGTAATTGATTTTTCCTCTTCATTGAGGTAAGCATCTATATGGGCTACATCACACTACACTTCATCCTTGTATTGCTTTTCTATGAAAAAAGGAACTAAACACTTCTTGCTATCCTTAATTTGATTCTTTTTTCGCAGGTAAGACAACTTATATGGTTGGGGGTGATCCACTGTTTTGAAGCTAATTTTTGCACTGTAAAAGTAGAAACAACGTTTTCAAAACTTTCACTATCAATCATAACATCACATACTTTATCATGAATAGTACTTGAATTTATTCTTGTGCAACTAGTCTTATTCCTCTACATGCACATCACTCACGTTGTATTGTATAATTGTGTGCTAACTTGTTTTTATATATTATGCACAAACTCAAAGCTCAATATTTTTGAAGTTTTTATGTTTTGCTTTAAAAATCATTTCTGCTGGAGTCGAGCTTTAAAAGTATGAAATATTGTTTTAGCAAGATTTTAAATGGAAATGAATATCTTGAATCCAATGTTTTAAACTTGTTTAAACACAAAAACATGATAAAAACATGATAACTTACATTGATTTTAATTTTTCACAGTGTTAAGTGTAAGTTATGAAGAATTTTTGAGCTTAAAATATCAAAATTTCGTTTCTGAATAATTACGGGCATAAAAATCATCTGCACAACTTCAAATAGTGATTAAAAATCATTTGCATGATTTTAATTTTTTATCCTTATTTGCTTTAGATGCATTTTTAGGAGAATTCATGAATGCGTTAGGGAATTTGTGAGATGCTAGTGATATTTGGATGCCATTTATGAAATCTTTATTGGTGCTTGATGTGATTGCTAACTTAATTTTTTATATATTATGCACAAACTCAAAGCTCAATGCTTTTGAAGCTTTTATGTTTAGCTTTGAAAACCATTTTTGCTAAAGTTAAGTTTTAAAAGTATGAAATATTATTTTAGCAAGTTTTTAGAAGAAAATGAATATTTTGAATCCAATGTTTTAAACTTGCTCAAACACAGAAACATGACAACTTGTATTGGTTTTTATATTTTACAATGTTAAGTGTAAGTTATGAAAGATTTTGGAGCTTAAAATATCAAAATTTCGTTTCTAAACAATTATGAGCACAAAAATCATATGCGCAATTTCAAATTGTGATATAAAAACTATTTGCTCAATTTTAATTTTTCATACTCATTTGCTTTAGATGAATTTTTAGGAGGATTCATCAATGCTCCAAGAAATTTGTGAGATACTACTGCTGATAGTTTGATGTCATTTGTAAGATCGTTATTGGTGTTTGATGTGAATAATTGTGTGCTAACTTGTTTTTATATATTATGCACAAACTCAAAGATCAATGTTTTTGAATCTTTTATGTTTTGCTTTGAAAATCATTTTTGCTGGAGTCGAGCTTTAAAAGCATCAAAATATTGTTTTAGCAAGTTTTTACGTGAAAATGAATATCTTAAATCCAATGTTTTAAATTTGCTGAAACACAGAAACATGATAACTTGCATTGGTTTTAATTTTTCATAGTATTAAGTGTAAGTTATGAAGGATTTTGGAGCTTAAAATATCAAAATTTCATTTTTGAATAATTATGGGCTTCAAAACCATATGCACATTTTCAAATTGCGATATAAAACCCGTTTGCATGATTTTAATTTTTCATACTCATTTGCTTTAGATGCATTTTTAGGATGATTAATGAATGCTCTAGGGAATTTGTGGAATGGTGTTGATATTTGGATGACATTTGTCAAATCGTTATTGGTGCTTGATGCGATTGTGTACTAACTTGTTTTTACATATTATGTACAAACTCAAAGCTCAATGGTTTTTAAGCTTTTATGTTTTGCATTGAAAACCATTTCTGTGGGAGTTGAGCATTAGAAGTATGAAATGTTATTCTAACAAGTTTTTAAATGGAAATGAATATCTTGAATCTAAAGTTTTAAACTTGCTCAAATATAGAAATATGATAATTTGCATTGGTTTTAATTTTTTATAGTGTAAAATATAAGTTATGAATGATTTTAAACTTACTTAAACACAAAAACATGATAACTTGCATTGGGTTTGATTTTTCACAATGTTAAGTAAGTTATGAAGGATTTTGGAGCTTAAATTATCAAATTTTGTTTTGGAGCAATTATGGGCAAAAAAACCATCTGCACAATTTCAAATTGTGATATAAAAGCAATTTGCACAATATTGATTTTTCATACTCATTTGCTTTAGATGCATTTTTTGGAGGATTCATGCTATTAACTGTGTGCTAACTTGTTTTTATATATTATGCACAAACTCAAAGCTCAATGATTTTGAAGCTCCTATGTTTTGTTTTGCAAACCATTTTTGCTGGAGTCGAGCTTTAAAACTGTTAAATATTGTTTTAGCAAGTTTTTAAATGGAAATGAATATATCTTGAATCCAATGTTTTTAAACTTACTTAAACACAAAAACATGATAACTTGCATTGGGTTTGATTTTTCACAATGTTAAGTTATGAAGGATTTTGGAGCTTAAATTATCAAATTTTGTTTTGGAGCAATTATGGGCAAAAAAACCAACTGCACAATTTCAAATTGTGATATAAAAGCAATTTGCACAATATTGATTTTTCATACTCATTTGCTTTAGATGCATTTTTGGAGGATTCATGCTATTAACTGTGTGCTAACTTGTTTTTATATATTATGCACAAACTCAAAGCTCAATGATTTTGAAGCTCCTATGTTTTGTTTTGCAAACCATTTTTGCTGGAGTCGAGCTTTAAAAC